ATTACAGATTCAGTATGTTGTACTATTATTGTCAAATATATATTTTTTGACATTAGGTTTTTACTCGCTTTTACAATTATTACCAAAAAAAATCTGAAAGATGTAATTACTTTGGCGTGTCCAAACTTGTATTGATTGTGATCAATGTCCAGAGAACCCAGAAGTTTTTCTGCTCCTTTCTTGTTATCTATAAATTGTCACTCTGGGATGGCTGTAAGGTTTCGGATGTGGTGTCTGCAGGGAAACACATCTGTTTTACTTTGCATAGAATACTGTAAAATATAAATTTTCGCATCCTACAGAAAATAAATAGACAGACCTCTGTTTGAAGTCTCCGTAGAGGATCCTGTTGGGGAAGCCCTTTCTGCAGATCCTGATGCCTTCCAGCACGCCGTTACAGCGCAGCTGGTGCATCACCAGAGGATTCTCCATGGCCCCAGGGGTCTTGGTCTCATTGGGGATGATGCAGCGCACAAAGTGAGGATGGGTTGACCTCAGGTTTGTCATCAGCTTGTTCAGGTTCTCCTAAAATGGGAAAAAAGAATGACAGATTAATTTCCAGGTTCTGAGAAGTGTATGATGTTAATTCAGTGAATGAGATGGTATTAAGGAGATCAGATATGCTGAACTGGTTCTCGCGCTCACCCTGTGCAGAGCCGACACAGTCTGGAAGGAGGAACCCTTCTTCTTTCCTCCTTTACCTCCTTTGCCTCCAGATTCTTGTGCTATATTGATATGGAAAAAAATCTTTTAGTCCTGAAAAGTAAATTTATACTGCATACTGCAATTAAAGATTGGAAGTTGGAATGATATGATTAATACATACAAGTAGTGTACAAGTGTGAACAATATTGTAGTCCTATACAAACTTACATTACTTATGTACTTACTAAGTGAAGGAGACATCTAATACATAATGACTTCCCATTCTTTCCACTGGCTCACATTTCACATTATCGAAATACATGTACTAATCATATACATACAACGTAACCCTATCTGCTGCAGTCCTTCATAACCACTATTCAAATGACGTTTTAATAAATGAAGATGCTGTGAATATCTTAGTGTTAATTCTTCTAGACTTAAGTGCTGCGTTTGACAGTCTTGATCATTCTATCATGATCGGTAGATTAAAGCAGTTGATGGGAATATCAGGAACTACGCTGGCCTGGTTCTCCTCATATTTAGCTAATAGATCTTTTTCAGCTGACGTTGGTGATGAGGGTTCATCCACCAGCATGCTTATATGTGAGGTGCCTCAAGGCTCGATTTTAAGTCCAATTTTATTTTCTCTATACATGCTCCCCCTTGGACATGTCATCTGGCAATATGGTTATCCGGCAATATGCCATTAACTTTCAGTATTATGCTAACGATCTACAGCTCTTGTTCTCCTTGGATCCAAACAATGTTGCAATCGATTCCTTTAGACTGTATTAATGGTGTGAGAAATTGGATGTCCTGTAACTATCTTCAGCTTAACACCCACGAAACAAGGATTTTAGTAATTGACCCACAATGTAACACAGCTCATGTGAAGCATGACTTTGGGTTTATTGGCACACAATATTAAATCAGTATCTAGGAACTTAGGAGTGATCTTCGACTCCAGCTTAAATTTTAAACATCATGTTAATGAACTGGTACAGTCTAGTTTTTATCAACCAAGAAATATTACGAAAGTTAGAGCATCTCTTTCCTCTAAAGGTACAGAAATAGTCAAACACACTTTTCTTACGCCTCGCCTGTGCTATTGTAATACTCTATTTGCTTCACTGAACGGTTCTTCCATTGCTCGTCTCCAGTTGGTACACAAAGCTGCAGAAAGACTACTTACAAGATCAAGGGTTTGTGAGAATATTCCCCCTATTCGGGCTTCACTGCACTGGCAAGCAGTTAAATTTAGAATTTATGTTCACATTTTATTCATCACTTTTAAAGCTTTACATGGTTTGGCTTTATTTGACTTATTAGTTCTCTATCAAACGATCATACCTTTATGATCATTTGGTAAGGAGGTACTCGCTGCTCGAGACTAAAGACCAAAGGTGATAAGGCATTTTCTGTTTTGGGTCCTAGACTTTGGAACAGTCCCGGGTCCTTTCTGTGTGGAATCCACACGCTCTCCCCGTGTTCGTGTGGGTTTTCGCTGAGGACTCCAGTTTCCTCCCACAGTCCAAAAAGTGTGCAGGGTAGGCTGATTGGTGAGTCTAAATTGGCCCCAGACACATCACATGAATAATAGCCTCTTATAATAATGACATGCATCAGAAGGGGGGGGGGGTGATTAGAGACCCTGGAGGAAACCCCATGACGACATGGGGAGAACATGCAAACTCCAGACACATGGAGCCAAGGTGGTGACTCAAACCCAGGTCACAGAGGTGTGAGGCAACAGTGCGAACCACTGCACCACCGTGCTGCCCCACAAATTATATCTCCAACATTTAAATTTAATAACATCCATACATATGTCAAAGTCAAGTTATTATCTCAAAATACAATACAGTCACATTTTGGGGGTTAGGGGTATGCATGCCACCACCCCATCCCTCCTCTCCTCTCCTCTTCCTGGCAGAGGCCTTCCCAGGGAGGCTGAGGTGTGTGATCCCCCTGAAGTTGGAACGCACCGTCCAATCCCCTTTATTAAATATTGGGACCACCATCCCCCTCTGCCAGTCCAGTATCCCTGACCTCCACACAATGTTGAAGAGGCGTGTCAGCCAAGACAGTCTAACAATACCCAGAGCCTTCAGGAACTCAGGGCGAATCTGATCCCGCCTCAAAGCCTTACTATCAAGGAGTTTTTTAACTACCTCCATGACCTCAGCCCAAGCCATGGGTGAGTCCTCCTCCAATCCTCTGACTCTGCTTCCTTTATGGAAGGTCAGCAGGATTCAGGAGGTCCTCAAAGTGCTCCTTCCATCATCTGACTATTGAGGTCAATAGTACTCCATCCCTGCTGTATTCGACGGGGGAAATCCCTGCTTCTCCCTTCGGAGACACCTGACAGTTTGCCAGAATGTCTGATCGAAAGTTCTTGCATCCGCAAATGCCAGTGCTGCACTCTGTTTGGCCTGCTCGTCTCTGTCACCTGCCTCTGGAGCAGAGCTGTGAAGTATTGAAATACAAATACTTTGTACTTAAGTAGGTTTTTTTCTAGTTTTGTACTTTGCTTGAGTGTTTCAAGTTGTTGCAGTTGCAAACTCATTTCACTTCTTTAAGTATTGCCATCCAGTCGAACACAGAAAATGTAATTGATTACAAACAACTGGGGTTTCCACTTTCAATCAGAAAAAATATGGGACAAATCGCATCCTGTATTGGTTCAAAATGGGACAGCGTGTTACTTTTCAATATGGGATGTTTGGTAACTGTGCTCGCAATTGCACTAATTAAATAAGAGCAATCAGCAGCGAGGAAGTCAAGAGGAAAACGCAGCAGTGAATCAAATTGTCAGCGTCTTCTAATGTTCTGCCCTACAACAACAACGTTTATTTTTGTATTATTTATTTAAATTAGATTTCCGTTTGCAGTCTATTCAAATTGTCATCTTTTTAAATTTCTGGAATGTGTTTATTGGGAATCCTAATAGAATTTTAAGCAAAAACAGCCTTGAAGTAATGTCCTAAATTGTAATGTGATAATTATCAATATCAAATGATATGAAAAAAAAACTAAATATTTGCCATAAGCTCTAAAACAGCATATTTTCTAAAAAAAAAAAAAATATCTATTTGCCCTTTTGCAATTAATTTTTCCTTATTGGATGCACTGTAACTAACAATGCTGTATTCAAGTCTCTCTTGGGTGATGAATTTAAAAGAATATGTTGCTTTATATGATACTTAAGTAATTTTATAACCAATGCAATATTTGGGTAATATTTTACTGGATGACATTTACTTTTACCTGAGTAACATTATGGATTGGTATCGGCACTCTTACTTAGGTATAAAAATTGAGTACTTTTTTCCCACGAGATATCCAAGCTCGGCTCCGTCGTCAGGTTCAGAGGTTACCGCCATGACAGGAACCAACGACCATACAGCCACAGCCACAGCTCAGCACAGTCGCTTTCGCCATGAAGGCATGGAGCTCAATGTCCAACCTCCCTTGGACAAGAGAAGCTAAGAGAATAAGAGAAGTTCAGGGGCCTGTACTACGAAGCAGGCTTACTGGCTTATCGGGGTAACTTGTCGGATTTAAGGTACCACAGTTTAAATGGATTTTATATTCGTTCACATACATTTTGCAGACTACCTTAGTACAGGCCCCTGTTCCAAAGGTGTGAGTTAAAGATTTCCAGTACAGGGGCCTCTGTCGGTCACTCCCAGCACACCCTCACTCTACATTTAGGTCTACCAGGTCTATCCAGCATTTTCCCGTGCCACGTCATCCAACTCACCATCAAACGAGTACCAGTTGAGAACTCAGCTGCTTTCTTCACCCAACTGTCCAAGATCTGATGATACGACTACAAAAACAATCATTGATCTATAGCCTAGGTTATCCTGGTGCCAAGAACACTTAAGAACACCCTTATGCTCAAACACGGTGAACTGTGACCAAACTCCAATAACAGAGCACCACTCAGCTTCTCAACCATGCAGTAGAGCTGACTTTGACCTATGAGAACAAGACAAATCTGCCCAGCATCCTGATTGGTCTGGGGCTCCAGCCCCCCTTAATCGATCTGCATAAAGAGAATCTTATTCTACCACAGCTACAGTGCCTACACCTCCCCACTCCGAGGACACGGGCAGCACCACAAATCACTCCCCAAGCATTTGGACATGAAGCAGCGATTTGGGAGGTTAGGGGCAAACCATGATGTTTTCCCATACACAGACTTTAAAGAATAGGAATATGATACTAAATATCAAAAATATTAAAAATGAATTGTGCCAGAATTTTACAAAAACATGCTCAACTGTGTGGTTGATCTGTCAGTAAAGGGTAGAAATTACCATGAGGCAGGTCTGCAGTTGTAGTGTGGAAGGGAGATGTTTGAGTGGAAAACGTGAACAAACAAAGAAACTAGATTATATTATTAAAACACAATATTATCCTATTACATTATATGTCAACATATGCCTTGTCGCACATGTATATTACAGGGAACCATGTAGTGCAGTGCATTGAGACGTCTTCCTTGTTTTCATTTTTAGTGATGGACATCAATTTGTATTATGGCGGAGGAAAGGGCAGCAATGCTGTGCTCCCCCTTGATTCACAGGAACCAGACATGATTCAGTATGTCAGTATATACAGATTTGTGTGCCCTTGTAATTGATGGGACGTTTATAGGCCAAAATCACGTTGATGGAGTGCAAAAAAAGCAATAAATTGTTTCACAGTTCTAACGAGAGATTAAAATGGTTATTTCAGGAATACTGTTAAAATTCAGCGATATTTTAGCATCTATTTACCATAAACTGACAGCTCAGCCATAAGATAGATGTCTATTATTTCTTTTTTAAAAAGGGGGTGGTCAAATTTTGAAGAAAAAAAAAACTTGTTAGACATTATTTGGTGCTCTAGTAATAGATATCTATGGTTATATGTTTTTTTCATCACCTCTTTCAATGAGTGTCAGTTAAAGGGATATAATTTTATCAGTTTCATTGGTGTACATCCATTTTCACTCCTCTATACTCCCAGTATGTTTCGATTTCCTTACCATGAAACTGCAACACCAGTACCTGTACTGCCACAGAGAAGCTCTCACCTTCCCTTTCTCAGTCTCAGCAGTAACTATACCTCCGTCACGGCTGACAATGTTGCCTTTCACATACTCCTCCTCAGCATCGGGCATGAAGCTCTCCTTCTTCATGTCGGAGGGGCGTGTTTGTGTCTCCAGACGCTCCTTCTCTGATTTCCGCAGGTAGGGGGCCACTACCCCAAAGTCAGCCATCTGGGAATCTGCCATATTTACTGGACCAAAAGGTTTACTTTGAAAGAAATTTAAACATACCAACAGTCATAACCTGATTAAATGCACTACAGTAAATTGAATTTTAAAATACATACAAAATACACAAGATGTCTTTAAGCGAAATCAACTAATCAAAATCAAATAATCAGAACTAATGGAGGAGAAAGATATGTTGTATTACCAATAACGTTATGAAGTGTGTGGTAGGATGTTCAGTACTGTAGCTCTGCGGAGTTGAAAAGTCAAGTTAGACTTTAAAAAATGCTTTACTGAAATCAGAGATTTGACTGCAGATGGCAGCATAGGAGAATAGGAGCAGTTCAGTACTGCCACTGAAATGTTTGAAGTTCAGCTTCCTGCTAGTCTGCATCTAATCATTTTAAACACAAACACATTGCCGTTTTCCTGCTGTGTAACAAATAGAAACAGTAGATATTGCAAACGCCAGTCATAGCCTACCTTGAGATGAAACAGTGAGTGATCTCGGCCCCTCTTCACTGTTTATAAATGAGGCGTGCTCCCATATTTAGGAATTACATCGCAGGGGGCTGGGGCTTCTATGTGCCTGTGTTTGGTAGAGCTGGAGAAGGAGGGGAGTGTGTAGGCTGGTAAGAGAGGAAGAAAACAGCAGAATAATCTATGTCGGGAGCCTAATTAGTGATAGGCTTGCTGCCTATACGTATTAGCAGTGCCCTGGAAAAAAGTAGCCTCTGATTCATATAGATATTTTGTGAGCTGTACTATATATTTTCTTCATTGTTGTTTTGAACTATTTTCGTTAACACTTTACTTGATGGGGCACAAATACTTTGTGATAACTCAGCTACTACTGAAGCACAAATCGTGAACGAATCATGGAAAAATTTTGTCGGTACTTGAAACAAAAGATGCTTCATGAGTCATTAATAATGATGAACAAACATGAGATCAGTATCATACTTCTGTTTTACATTACTTGTTCCTTCAGTAGTTCCTTAATAGTTCCTTCAATGATTCCTTCAATAGTTCTCAAACGTTTACAGAATTAACAGATATAGTAACAAATATAGTAACTGCTTGAGATAAAGCATGCATCATAATTCATTAATGATGAATTAACATGAGATCAGCATGTAACTAAGACTTAGTTTGTGGTTTATTAGTAGATTAGTAATGCCATAATGCTACATTATTTGCGCCCCAACAAGTAAAGTGTTACTGAATTTTTCACTGCATTGTTTTATCCAAGGGGTGGTCCAGTGGTTACAATTGTTGCCTCACACACACACACACACACATATATATATATTTATATATATATTATCATCAAGTGCTTTTGTCCAAAGTCACATACATGGAAGGATCAGGACCGCGGGAGCAATTGGGGTTAAAACAGTTTTCCATCTAATTTCACATAAATTTTTTTGATTGGCTAGACTAATCACATTTCCATATGTGTCTCTGTTTAATATTTTCTACTTTATAGTCCCATGTACTGAAGGACTTGTTTATGGAACACACAAACACTTTAGGTCCAGTTTGTAGGATCACAGAAAGGGCATTTACAGCAAACAAAATGAACTAAAATAAATGCATTACTTCCATATATACAAAATGTTTTTATTAATTAAGAAATAGAATAACTGAAATGAATGATAACATGGTAACATTTTGGTAAAAACCAAAGGTGTTACTATAAATTATCTTGTTAATGGGGATTTGCTCTGCTGTATAATATTTACTGCAGTAATGTGTTTTAAAGGAGTATAATGAACAATACTATTTGAACATTCTAGATTGTAAATAAGAATCTTATAATGGGTTAAATGATGGCACACACCACCAGCACACACTAACATTGCTAACCTGCTTTGGAGGGTAATTGTAGTAAGAATTTGCATGAAGTGCTAGTTTGACCCATGTGCAGGTCAAGGTTTCTAGTAAGTTGTTGTCCATTATCACCTACCTAGCAAAGAAAAGCCTTTGCCCTGTGTTAGGTCTTGTTGTCATTGCACTGTTTCCTTCTCTTTATCGCCGAGTGCAAAGATAACTCTGTGAAATTCCTGCCGAGTGCCTCTTGCTGATTGAGGAGGACAGCTTGCGAGGCTGGTGACAGCTGGCCGTTCATAAGGCTTTCTCCACACCAGAAAGGTGACGGGCAGTCTCCCTGACATGTACAAAGTCGGATATGAAATTCTAGCAATAAGATTATTAGCTACGAAGGTCTGGACCTGTCATTTTATGTGATGCGGCTGGCATTGAAAACAGGAAACTCAAGAAGCAGTTTGCAAACATTTTGCTAGATATTTGTCAGTTAAGTAATACAACTTTATGTTTTAAGTAATTATATTTGTTAAGATTATTGTTTTAATTTAATTTTTATAAATTATATTTTATATGTTTTATTATTTTTTATTTTATTAATTAATGATAATGCAATAAGGGGGGAATGGCAGTGCAAGGGTTCAAGTCCTGGCTATGGCTTCAAGTGTGTGGAGTTTGCATGTTCTTCCTGTGTCTCCCCCCCCCCGTCCAACGAAATGAGGTTAATAGAGGTAATCGGATTGCCCATAGGTGTGAATGTATGGAATATTATTTAGCACTATACAATGTAGAATATAATCATTATGGTATTATTAAAAAGCATGCCAAATACACATGATGTAATCATTACAATGTAGTCAACACAATGTAGTCAATTGAGTATGTATTTGCACCTCGTGTTAGCCTAAGAGTTTTTGTTAGGTACTTTATGTTAGCCCTGAATGTATGAATATCCACCTTTATTAGTGTATACTTTATCACTATGTTAAAGGACAAATATATTATCAACCCTCTAGTTAGTCAATGTGCAACAGGCTGACGCTGCCTGAGTTCACCAGAAGTTCACGGCTGAGCATTTTTAAAAAACCAAGTGGAGACGGTCGCGCCACCATTATGTTCAGCTGAGGGACCAAATAGTAAAAGAAATGACTGACAAACTTATCACCTAGGGGTGTGGATTAAGGGAAAAAACAATGATTGTGAATGGTGAAGGAATGATGATGCTCAAGTGACGAGATATTGTTAAATGATAAGAACTTGTATAAAAATTGGTGTAAAACAGTATTGGACACACTTGTAAGTGTCTGGCCTTGGTTGTAACTTCATTGTTGCAATAAAGACTGAATTTGGATCCACACGAGCAGCTTCTGACTTCTGATTTGGCAAGGAAGGAAAAACCACAACAAATGGTGTGTGAGTGTAATGGGCTGGTGTCACAACCCTGAATTGGACAAGCAGTTAAAGAAAATTGGAGATAATGTAATAAAATTAACATGTAAATCAACTTGACACACAAAGTGCATGAATTTATTCCTGTTCTAAGTCTGGTTTTATTAAGTCAAAGGCTGTTTGTTATGTCAGAGGAACAGAATGAATAGTTATAATTTCCAACCATCAGATTTCCTGCCTGTCCAGGTTTCTCTTATTATTGTCAGGTACTGTGATCCTATAAGTTGCAGTATGGTGCAGACAAATACTTTAAAAGCTGTTTCCCCTAACTACTATTACAACAAACACATTATCAGTAGATATACTGGGGTAGTTAAATTATTTGCATTGCATTCATCCAATGGTAGCATTATTAAAAAAATTTAGGCTGGGACAGTACAGCATATATGAACAGCATATCAGAAATATGAATTCCCAGTATAATAATGTTTTGAAGGTATTGGAATAAAATGGCTTTTTAATTTGAATACTACTAGTATATTTTGTCATTTCCTGAAATATAGCTCTAATCCAGGGATTGCCGGCCTTATCTACAAAGGGCCAGTGTGTACGCAGGTTTTTGGGATAACTTAAAGTCAGCTGTTCAAACCCAAGTGTGAGGACTCTTCACCCAATCAGTCCTCCGATTAGTAATCTAATTAGAGAGTTGTAGCAAAAACCCACATATACAATGGCCCTGTCTAGACAAGGTTGGCTGCCCTTGCTTCAAACTATCGATTTCCTGAGAGTACAAATCCAGACCAAGATTTTGTTTCAACCAACCAGTTGAGTACTCTGTGACTGTGACTCTTTATACTCAACTGGTTGGTTGAAACAAAATCTTGGTCTGGAGTTGTAATCTCTGGACCTGAAATCTCCACCTCTGGTGTCACATATTACAAAATTGCAAATATTCAATGTTTATTTTTTTGAAGATGAAACAGATTGATGTGGTGTGACTTTACAGACACAGAAATGCATGTTCAGTATGTTAATTGCATTCATATTTGAATTCATAGCCATCAAAGCATGAGAATGCTCTTGCATGGGATATTAAACAATACTGCTAACATGAAGCCACAAGTAAAGTGTAGAGAGACCCTGCTAAATAAAGTCAGAGCTGCAAAGGGTCTCCGATTATAACAACTAAGTGACAAGTATTGAAACTGACAGGCTCCCCGGAGGGGTGTTATTCACAGAATGAGAAATAACTAGTCAAAGGCCCCCTCCCGATGACGAAGATAATGACCCTTCACATTCTCCTTGACAAGTGAGTCTACTAGGCACAATGGAAAACATAACATAATTAATTCACTGCTAATGGTTTTGGATCAATTCACTTGCAAAAGAACTGTACTTTGAGTTTGTTTAAATTCTTAAGTCACATAGAAAGTTTGACCCTTCAGCTCCTTAATTAGTCCTATCAGTAGAACATTCCATTCCCTACTCCTCACTGACAATCCCTCTCCAGCCGGGCCCCTCTCCAGATCACCAGTGGTCACTTCTGCGCAAAAGCGACGTGGCACTTCACAGTCACCCTTAGACTGTGTTGATCTGAAACCTGATTCCCCACCTTTCCCTCTCTGCCTAATATTAGCCTGGAGTTCTCTTTCAGTGATTGAAAGGACAATGAGGTCATTAAGACACTCAGTTTTAAATATAGAAAGCAGCAATTGTGAATAAAGAGCAGGGAGATTGCTGAAATACAATGCAATCTTCTATAAATTGGACCACTCTGCAGGAAATTAGTTCAAACAATTAAATGGTACTAGAAATAAAATTAGAGAGAGCCTCTAGGTTAATAACTACAAAACAGCATTAAATACATTCACTTCAAACATTATTCATGTACTGCTCAACTATTTAACTAAAAGGATTCATGACTTTATGGTAATTGTAATCATTGGAGTAAAACTCATAGTATTGTGAAAAGTCCCATTGTGAGAATGATCGTATATGGAAATGAATATTTGAACCCTGTACAATGAGCAGAAAATACAAAGCAGATTTTTATTTTGAAATTTGATATCGATCATTTGAAGCATAATATTGTGCCGACGTCTGTCTCACTGTGAATGTCAGTTATGGAGACCTTTGTAACATGAGTAGTAACTCAGCGGTGGGAAGATTCACACTTGGAGTATAAGTCTGTAATTAGCATCCATCATGCTCGCTTGTGTTCCCCTCTCTGCCCCTGACCGGCTCGGCTGGGCTCTGAGGACGCTGAGCTGCTCGGAAGGGCTGCTGCTTGACTGACTGCGAGGTAAGGGAGCGCCTCCGAGAATGACCCACTTACACTTCGGTCTCAAACCACGATAAT